AGATAATTTTCTTAGTAAAAGATTGAGTGGATGTCACGGCCACTATCCTGAAGTTCCCAACAGATGGCAAGTACTTGGTGTATTTTCTTGCAGTGTAGTTCTCAAGTCCCGCTTGTGTGTTCATATTTATGTGTCTCCTGATAGCGACGCCCGCTGCAGTCAAAAGTTTTACTTCGTTCACACTTGCATTTGTGTTTGTACTCTTCTCTCTTTCTCTCTCTCTCTCTCTCTCTACATCTTTCTCTCTCTTCCTGTGTGTGTTTGTGTATGTTTATATGCTAATACTTTAGCGCACATGGCAGGGCGCTATTATCGCGACTGCCACTTGGGCGTCGAACTTCCGTTTCCCTGCTGCTTTTGCCTTCGCCTTCTGCCCTTACCTCTGGAAGGACCTCTGGGTCTCCTCATGGAGGAGGATCTCCGAGCACTGAGCACTCGATGGCAGCCCAAAAGCATTTGCAATTTCAGTTTGCATTTGAGCCTGAGCTCTCGTCGCTCTCGTCTCTGTGTCCATCTCCTTTTCTGACTTCCTCTCTGTCTTTCGTACGTTGTAAAATGAATTTTACTTCATTTTGATATGTTTTCCCTGCTGGTTTTAGTGCCGGCACATAAATACTTGTGGGATGTGTGGGGCGTTCAGTTTGTTTTGCCACTATCGCAATGATAATAAATTGTATTAATCTCGCTGTCACCCACCCACACACAGTGAGCGAGCGGGGCAGAGTGAGAGGGAGACGAAAGAGTGAGTGAAATGGATGGAGCCACCCACACTCTCGCTGATCAAGTGCCCAACTAGTCGCGAATGCATTTGTAAACGTGGCCGAGGATTCCGTGCCGCTCGCTCACTGGCGCAGTGCAACTTGTTTCAATTTACATTTCGTGGCAGCTGTGGCAGAGCCAATTTATTATATAATTATTGTTGTGCGGTGTAATTGTGTGGGATATTTATATTACTTATACATATTCGTGTCCCACTGCCGGGAGTGATGTATCTTAGTTGCAAGTCTCTTAAAGAACATGCCAAGGCGAGTAAGAACTAACTGATTGATTGATTGATTTCCCTACAGATTCTTGAACTCAAACATATTTTATATGCATTGAATAGCACTCTTAGAAGGGTTTTCTTCAGGCTACATGCATCCAAGTTAAGGCCATCTTAAGCCGAAATAGTTTACACAAAAGCGGTCACCAACAAAAAATCCTAACCCAGTAAGCTCCGGCCTCAAAAGTACTTGCACATGTACATACACGCCCATGTCCTGTGTAAGAGGTTGTGTGGGTCTGTTGGAAACTATATAGAAACCGGCAGAGCTGGCTAATCAAAAATTAATTCAATTTCTTGTCCGCTCAACGGCTGGTGGCTGGTAGCCGCAGTGAAAGTGCGTCCACATCCTGCAAGGCCTTGTCCGGACTGGGGCAGCGATTAAGGCCCTGAAGCCTGTAACAGGGAACAAAGACAAGCATCAAATTTGATGATGTCAGTCATGCACGAAACCTTCCGACCGAACCCTGTTCGGCCACGTCCTGTGCTGTTGCTATACGAACGAGTAGCTCCGGGAAATGCAGTCTAAAAACCAACAAATGCCGGAAATGCGCCGCGACTGTCTCTGGTGCTGGAGCTGCCACAGGCACTGCGATTCAACTTTCTGCATTAAATATTTTGAGGTTTTGAGGGGGGTTTTCGGGAACGAATTTAGGTATTTTGAGTGCGCGGGGAATAGAATTGGAAACGAGGCGCGGATGTTGTGGCTGCCTTTTGCCAAATCTAATTGCAAATTTTATGTAGCGACAGCGGAGTCCGCCTCCACGGACTCCCACTCGACAGCTCTGTGGAAACAATGTGGCAGCCACTGGGAACTGTTCATTTTTTTCTTGTTTGCGCTTCCCGTTCAGACGGCAGTAAATCATGAAATTTATTTAACAACATGAGAGTCGGAAAAAACAGGCAACATAAATTGCACAAATGTCCGCACTTCGAGTGGCAGTTGCGCCACTGCACCGCAGTCATCCAGCCCATTCCACCAGGAGCAGAAATTGTCATTAATGTTGATGTGTTTTTAATTCGGTTTTGTGGAGGCAAAAGCAACGTCAACGGCCACAGCAAACCCATTGACAAAGCCTCAAAGAGCACACGAAGCCTCCACAGAGAGGGGCATTGGAATTCTGTTTTGGGATTTAATTAAAACTAATGAAAACTCTCGCCCCCAGCTGCAACCCTCCTTCCCACCACCCACCAGCCACTCGAGCAGCAGTCAATCTTGCATTTTGTGCCCAACGACAAATGACAAGAGGCACAGACGAGTTTTCAGGTCCTTGGACTGCCACATCCCGTTTCTACTGCCAACTGCCAGAAGCCGAGCACTTGGCCGGCATTTTCTGAAATCTACCACAACTGTGGAAGGGAAATTGGGACCGGACCGGGTACGGGTACCGGCGATGAACTTCAGATTCGACCTCCAGGCAGAATGACAGAGAAAAGTTGAGAGCAATTTTGCACACAATTGCAGAAACCGAACAAAATGAGCTGCAACCACGCACTCGAGGGCACCTCGCAAATGAGCAATGAAAGTGCGTGGCCAAGTTGGAGACCATCATGCAATTACACAACCCCTTCAGTCCGGATAAGTCCACTTCCCCCTTACAGTGTCTTGGAAGGATTAGGCACAGAGACAATTTCTGTATGGGGTGCCTGGAATACAGAAGCAAAGTAAATTTATTGTTGATAAAATGATTTCAAACTGCGAATGCAGCTCGGATCCCGTGAAACTTTGAGTGGGTTGGTAGTCCCTTAGTTCTTTTCGTCATAGCCAAATCTTGATTTGCGGCTACATAGATTTAAGAGCGATGTCCTACTGGTCTTTCGTGGAGGTATGATATTCTCATCTTCATCAATCTGTATGAGGATTTCCGACTTTACTACTGGCCGCTCAAGTGGCTCTATTTCTGGTGGCGACAGGGACGCTGGCTTTCCGATTTGTTTCACAAAGCAATTGGATGTCTGAGCGTCTGGCTTAATGCTCGCTATGAAGAAGCAGCTGGTACCCTCCTCCAACGGCAGCTTCTGCTGCTGCTGCAGTTTCACCAGCAGATCGCCAATCTGATTGATGATCTCTACTGACTCTTGGGAGGAGAACGGTGACTCGCCGCCAACTGTTCGATCGCTCAGTGAAGAAGGCTCAATTCTGTCAATGTGAAAGGTGTCCTGCCTGCTGATTCCAGGATTGTCTGGTGCTTGAGCACTAAAGTTGCTGATTTCTTCTACTCCATCTTGCTCCTCTGTGTCCGTCGGAAATATGCAAAGTTGTTGCAACTCCTCGAGGAAACTATTCTCATCGTCATGCTCATAGGCGGTGCTACTGGTGCTTGTTACGTCTAGCTCAGGCGGTGGCTTTGTGTTCTTCAAGCGATTCAGCAATCGGTCACACTCCGCAGTCACCTCGGCCATTCGCTTGGCCTCTATCTGGGTCAACTCTGGATCAGTGAGGGGACTTTGTGTCAAAAGAATTGCGTCCACAAGTATGAACGGAACGCCGTCGAAGGTGTCTTGATCCCCCTCCTCTATCCCAGTTGGATTCCGATTCCCGGCATTGTTGCTGCCAGCACTCTTCTCGTTGGTACTGTGTGATGCGCCTGCGGTGTTCGAAGTGGTCCCATAAGCGGACTTACGGCTGCTCTTCGTCTTGTTCATTATGCTGTGAGTATGGGTGCATCAGTGAATGTCTGCGAGGGTGTGGCTGTACGAGTGTGAGTATGCATTGAGCAAACGATCGCAAAGCTCCATTCATCGGATGGCATCGTGTGGCCAGGGCCAAAAACTAATCCGCGATTAGCTGAACAGCCAGAGAACACTTACCTGAAGGCCGAAAACTTAATGGTGCCGCCGCCACAGGACTACGATTGTTTTGGTAGCACAAACAAACAGAAATTTAAGCCCCTCAAAAGTACTCCGGACGAGAAAACAAAATTGAAAAGGAGGAAACTTTTGCGTACACAGCGCAGGAAAAGCCCCTCGGTTCGTCTTGGGCACTTGTGGCTGCTTTTCCCAGTGGGTGATGTGATGCGGCGGTACGGGATCTGGATAGGAAGTGGCGGATTGGGGGGGATTGGGGGGGATTGGGAGTGCAAGTGGAAGTGGAAGTGGTGCACAATCCGTAAACCAAAACTTTATTTTGTGCTGATAAAAACTTAAATGTTGCTGCTGCCCCTTACTCTTACTCCTGTTGTTACTGCGCCTGTGTTGCTGTTGCTGCCTCTGCCACGCAATCGTAAATGTTTGATATCCCCAAAGGTTAACAATTTCCTGCCGCTGGCCTCTTCCGACCACGGCTCGCCCTTTCCTGGCTCAAGTTAGTTTTTCCTGTTTCTTATTTGGTTCAAAAAGAATTTTGCGGTTGGCCAATTGGAACCACAGCGTTTGCTGGATGCCACAAGCGAGTACACGTACACACACCGAGCACGGGAGAACACGCGTAGGTCTGTATGTGTCTCTTTGATAGTGTGTGTTTGTGTGTGTGTGTGTGTGTGTGTGTGTGTGTGTGTGTGTGTGTGGGGGCTTGGTTGTTGCTGGGTTGTGCGGGTCTAAAGTGGAATTTGGAAATTTACTGAACTGCGACTTGGATTTCAAATGTTTTGAAATTCGATAATACTGCCACTCGTATCTATAGAGATTGACAGGACAGGCAATGCCACATTGATGCACATTAGAGTTGCTCCTTCCTTGAACAAATATTGCATTACCCCAAAGCAGCACACAGTCGGCAAAGAGCGCCATCAGTTTCGAGTCTCTCTTTGGCCTACGATATAACTTACGATATTCGAGCTCCAGTTACTCTTTGTACTAAAAGCGCTTTTGGCGCTCTCTGGCCTTGTCCTGGCCGTCGAGGGCTGAGCCGAGGCTGCCACCCGAGCCTGCCACGACGTGGCGACTGCCAGACGAGCTACAAACAAATCAAACATGCCCGTGTCCGTGTCCATTCAGTCAGAATCGGTGCGAGAAGTGGCAAGGACGTGTACGCGGTCGGCAAGTGTCATACTGAAAGCGAATCGAATCGAATCGAATCGAATCGAGTTGTGGCTAAAGTTCGTTGCAAAGTTGAGCTGAGCAACTGCATGTGCTTGAGGGCAGGCAGGCAAGCGGAGGCGTGAAAACACATTTGTGGCGAGTGTAATTTTTTCCCCGCCACCCCGGAACGTGTGCGGGCAATTAAAGTTCCTCGTGCCAGCGGCACCAGCACCTCCATCGTGTATTCTCGTCTGAGTGACTGACTGCTGACTGGTCGCGCAAATTGCATGTCAGAGCAGAGGGTGCATGGCTCGTGGTGGCATGACATCGAAATAAATGTGCCGCAGGAATAAAAAGCTTAAAGTGTTGCATAGCTGCCCCATCCCATTCTGTTGGTTTTATTAAGTGGAATTATCAAGTAAAGTAAACATATGTAAACCCCATCAAAGGCAAGTGAAATAAATAAATGTGTTGCACAGAGTAAAAATCGAATTAAAGCTGAGAGAAAGGGAAAATGTTGAATAAAAAATGAATGCAAATGGCAGGGAGGAACCCTGTGAAAGAAGCAGCAACATATGAAGCCAGGGAAACACCATTCGGCTGACAAAAACAAACCCCAGACCCAAGTAAAGAGAAATTCGCATATATATCAAAATTTATGAAAAACCCCCTTCCACACGTTCAGGCAAACTGATGTTTCGGTGATGGTGTGGGTAGGGCTCTCTTATGGAGAACCAGGCCATGGCTGTGGCAGAAATTTTATTTATTTGTTTGCTTTACTTACACAGCAGAAACGACAACAACTACAATATACTTGAATGTACGTAGAATACCATGCCAGAGGGAAAACTCGAATGAAAACCAGCAGCGTTTTGTTGGCACTTTCAATTCTGGAATGCTACGAGTATTTTCCGTCAAATGCCGAACTTTTGAGGCATCTCTCCGGAAAATACAAGTGCTGGCAATTAGCCCAGCAGCTACCCACCCCCACATAGTGTTTCACTTTCGGGTGGGTCGAAGGGTTGCCAGCCACCTGCAGCCTACATCCCTTGGGTCTCCTGGGTGGCTCATGGCGTGCGGGGGCATTGTAGCCAAACAATGCATATTCTAATATGCTAAATGGTTGGCCATTGTAAGAACCACATGGGCAGGCTGACACACAGACCTGCCCACACTGCCAAACCACAACTGACATAATGGCCAACAAAGCGAGGGAGCTGGCAAAACAAAAGACAAAACGAGCCAATTCAGGTTCGTTTCGAATCGTCATAATTTCAATTAAAATTCAATTGAAAATATATGCAAAGGCAAACAATGGCGCAAATTATGGGGTTGTGGCATCCACATGCACAGCCATAAAACTCACTTAAATTATGCATTCCGCGATATTTATCCGGTAAACAATATACACGCATATATCTTCGTTGTGTACATGAGAAAAAATCGAAAAAATATCCATTATGCCCTTTTTTCGATATTGATTACCCATTGAGAGGCAATTGACATTTCAATAATTCCATAAATAGTTAAGTAACTGGCCCGAACCTTACCTTCCTTTTTCTCCATTTCCCATTAAGCGTTTTCCATTTTCTCTCTTTTGCTCTCAATTTAGTTCACGCCACTTGAGCGAACTTAAATATTTCTTCACACTTTGGCGTTGTCGCCAACATCTTTTGGCAAAAGTTTTCCAATTATATGTCGCCTTTTTGCGTCCAAAACTGTTTTTCCCCAACGCTTTTCATATTTGCTTTCTTTTCTTTTCGCCCCTACTCTCTTTGCCACACTCTGAGTTTCTGGGAAAAGTTTTTATCGGCGCACAGAAAAAATTATGTTGGCATTTGCTTTCGTTCATATGTATATGATTGGCATAGCAGCTGCCCGAAAGTTTTTCCCCTCCGGCAAATTCTTATCAGAGAGCCGTGTTCCCCCCCAGCAAAGACAATTTTTCAGAACTCAGTAAGTCTTTTTTTGGTTGCTGCCAGATCAAATGAAAATCAATTTTGATTTGGGACAAATGTAAGCCGAAAGTCAGGTACATTTTGCCCTGCAACAAGGTTTTGTTTTTCCGGACTTGTTGATATTGTTTTTGTCTTATTTGCATTTGCACTACCCTCGCTACCTTTGTGTGTAAATGTGTATGCGTATCTATAGCTGTATATGTGTGCATTTCTGTGGGTACTGTCGTCCGCATGTTTCAAGAAATGGCATACACGTTATTTCACTTTAGTACATTAGGGCAGACTTCCTCTCGCCGGTGCGCTTAATTTCCGGCGCAGTCAACAATACGAATAGGAATCCCCAGGGGGAGCTTGCGGGAGGGCAAGCCAACTGGGGATTAAGGATTGGTCTTTCTTTTCCCTCTCTTTATTTCTGTGTTTGCTTCCGGTGCATTAAGAGACATTGTCAGATAGAACCGGAAAACGAGAGAGAGAGAGAGAGAGAGGGGTAGGAGTGGATCTATAATTATGGGCAACATTGGAGTACTTTGAGATTCCAAAGCCATCTGTTATGCATTATTTACAGATTCCACAATTGAATTAAAGGTTCAGTAATACGAAAGAATTGTTTGGTCACATGCAAAGACCACAAACCTGTGTCCAATTAGGGACCTGAAGCGGTTTCCTTATAATTACATCATCATCTCTGGCGCATTGCTGCGTAATCAATTATTAATGCTCTGCAATTTAATTTATTAAAATGCAATTTAATAATTTAAATATTTATGCTCCTTCCATCCTTCCGACATGCCACCCGCTTCTCGTGGGGCGGGAGCCAATCAATTTGAGGGGAATTCGTTTCTCATGTAAAATATTGCCGCTGCCACCGCCTCCACGCCACACTGTCGCCGTGTGCATATTTGAGAGCACTCGTATCACTCATACGCACCGTTGCCCCGACCCCAAAGCCCTCTTGCGTGGCGCAAACGTAGCAAACAAATCTTCCATATAACATTTATTTTTTTCGACTCACGCGCCAACTTTTGCGGCCAGCCAAGCAAGTCAAGGAGTGGTCGTTGGAGTGGGTGCCGCACGGAGAAGGCTGAGCTGCGGTTGTGAGGCTTGAGGAGCGAATGCCGCAGCAGCCACAACGTTTCCATGGGAATGCTGTGGCGCTAAGGAGGTATTGTATAGGGCCAAGGGAAAGGAAAATACCTTTGAGGGTTCTCCATTTGTGGATAACTATTTATAGACCCAGCAGTCGTGGACTTTGGTTAATTTAGAACTCGATTCGTGATGCCCGAATGCCCTAAGGGCTTCACATTGCATCACTTTTGTTTGTGAGTGGTATTTAAAATATTTTTGTTGCAGATTCCATTACTCCGTCATATTCCACTCACTTTCTCGCTTTGATTTTGCTGTGTAAATTGCCTTTCACTTCGCTTTCTGGCGTATTAAGTACTTTTTCATTTCCTCTTCCGCAGAGACACCCGGCCTCGATTTTTGTTTTTTTGTGGCGCGTCGCGAAAGGGAGGGAACAACAAAATTTGTTAGCCATAAAAAATGTTTGCGAGCTACGCGTCTGGGTGACAAAATGTGGATGGTGAATGCCTCAACCAGCACCCCACCAGTGCCGCACAATTGCGGCATACCGTGGCTTTCCACTTGCCTTACGCTACTTTGCATGCCGATCCGCTTTGTACTTTCCCCGTTGCCTGTTCTTGTTTTGTTTTTCCTCTTTCTCGTCTTTCTGTTCTCCAGCACTGTTCCCAATTCTTTTTTATGTGTCTTGCACCTGAAAAAAGACAGGGGATGGTTGGCAGAGTTCTGGCATTAAAAATTTAAGTTTTATGTCAATGAATGTCTTCTGCTTTGACTTCCTGCCTCTTTCTTTTTCATAAAGTTCTCGTTTTGAAGTTGATTTAATTAAAGCCCCAACAATTTCAGGGAATACTGCATTCGAAATAGCCAAACAACGCCCAAAAGTAATTGGTCCCATCAAAAATACATGGAGCGGTAGGCTGTGCGTTGGCTTAACCAAATTATAATTTATTTATAATAATTGCAGTTGGCTTAGGCCGATCTCCAGCCAAGGGTGTGCCATACAATAGAGGCAGGTCATAAACACTTCGTAGTTTAGTAGGTTCATTCCATTTATTTTTTGTGTGCTCCCATAAACGCATTTTATCCCCAACACGTGATATTTTGTAACTCATGAGTGTGAATCTTTGTTAGTTGAGCACTCTATGAAAAGGGCATCAAAGCGCTGATGGAAACTACATGGAAGCACATCTGTGCGGATGGAATAAAATGTACAACCACCCCAGAATGAATTTGCATTGTCCATCAAACTGTTCGTATTTATTTCCCGTTTTTTTACAGTATATATGCATATATATTTTTTTGGTGAGTTGGCAGCTGCATTTTTACGACCCACTTTATCCGATTGTTACCGCAACAAACTTAAAAAGGGATATGGTCGTCCCTCACCCAATCAATTGTCATCGATGTGCTATGCGATGTCCTAATCCGTCAAGCCGCATGGGTCTGATGGAGTGCTTATCTGCTTGACACATAAAAGCCACATGAATTTATTGAGAAAGCCAGATCCACACGAAATTCCCATTAAATATACTGTTCCATCTGCCAGATAAAGCAATGTCCAAAGGGCGCCTCCTCCCTTGATTTACTGAACTCTGGAAAAGTCCTCGGTAATTGATATTTAGTGACATTTTTCGAGCTGGGATGCGAACAGTTCAAGCCACACTCGTAGCCAAACAATTTGTACATCTTTAATCGCATGTCAGGTCCAACTTAGTCATGGACCACAATACGGCTTTGAGCGCTAATGTAAAATTTATTTTTAATTGGATTAAGTGTCAAACATTTTGACTTTGTGCCAACAATAATTTAGTCTGTTGAATTTTAATGCGATTTTTGGTAATGCAACTTTTGCACCTGCTACGGCCACACCACACCACACCACACCACACTACACTCGCCGTGACCCACTATGCTCCATGCTTCCGGGCACACAACGTCCTGTGGAAAGGGAGCTTGGGTTGGGTGTGGTGCTGTGGCTTGACTCGGACCCAGATTTATGTGTCAAATGAAAAATCAATACTATTATATCCAAAATACACAGAGATATCCACTTGTGTAGGGCCATGTAAATAGCTGGTTGACATTCTGACAACACGACAGGCAGTCGGTAGGGGACTTCACATGTCTCCCCTAATGTTATTAGGTCACTTGCGGCTATATGTTTATTTCTATGTTTCTATAGCACACACATGCAAGTGTGTGTGTGTGCGTGTTCGTATTGTTGGGTTGGAAAATGGAAAGCTGTTGCTGGTTGATGGTTGATGGGAGGAAATTAAATTTTCCATACCATCACAGTTGGGGGAAAATTATAATAATTGCTAAAATAATCGATTTGGGGCCTAGTCCTTGTCTATTGGCTATTGGCTGGTGTGCTCTGTACATCACAGATACTGCAGAGAGAGCCCAGAAAGATGTGTCAACAATCTGAAATATACACAAAACATCCATCCCAACCATGCACACACAGATACTCACAGATATATACACATTTCAGCACCCTGCACACCAGAGGGACAAACTTCTTGTTTGGGGTTTTGTTTCACAATAATAAAGTGCGGCTGCAGCTTTAATAACTTCTGCCGTCAACAAGAGGTTCAACAATAACTACCAAGTCCCTGATAGAGACAAAAACCCCAGAAACAGAGAGACAGAGAGAGAGAGGGAGCAGAGAGATATATGAGAAAAGCAGGAAAATGCCAGAGCAAACAGCCAGACTCGGTAGAGTGGCAGTGGCAGTGGCAGTAAAAGTTCAACCAGAGAATGGAGCTGCATTCTAATATGATGGGACCGCAACTAGAAAAGTTACCATCCTCCAGAGGGTGGTGTGTCTTGGGTGAGGCTAGGGGCGATAGAGGGCCTCCCACAATGCCAGGAGACGAATTACATTTGTCGCACAATGTTTGCACATATTTAAGCAACTTAAGAATTAGCCAACTTTGCTGGAAAATGCAGCGGACAAATGCTGGCAGTTGCACTGTCATTGGTAGCAGCCCCAGCCCCAGCTCCAGCCAGGCCCTTCGTTGCTTGCTCACTTCCTCTGTCAGACTGTTATTCTTTTGGGGCAACATCAATCCGGCGAAACTCTTGAGCAACCCAATTTGAGTTGCCCGCGCTTTGCAATGCAAAATGGCGGCGCTGCGAAAGTTTTTGCTGCATAATCGCAGGCGCAGCACTTTGGGGCAAGCAACACAAAACTCTAGAAGAACGGGGAGCGAGTGGCAGTGTGGAACGAGGGCAGGAGACCAAAAGGAACAGAAGAGCAAACAAACTTTGCTGGCACTGCGCATAATGAAGCGACAGGGCAGAAGCGGCACCGGCAGCGGCAACGGCAACGGCAACAGCAGCGGCAGCGCAACAGAAAAATTCATCTCCGAATGTGGACAAAAAGGCTACAGTCAAGGGAGCGGGATCCATGCCAGCCAACCCAGAAATACAGCCAGGGATGGAGTCCCGGAGTCGGGAAAAAGTTTCCGTTGCCAAATGCGAAAAGAATAAGACGGGACGAGCGTCACAGTTTACTTGGCATTTACATTTCCGTTGCCGCCCAAAAGTTGTTTTCCATTTGCTCCTACTCTTATGTTTTTTCTGATGATTACTTCGGCTTCATTTTTCATTAGGACGAAACTTCCGTATCAGGCCACCCGTAGTCCCAGGACGAACTGCAGCCAGTCGTAACGCGGCTCGTTTGATTTATGCCTATTTCATGAGCTCTTCGACATTTGAGGGTCATGATACGTGTCCTTGAGCATTGTTTTTTCTGGTATACAAATAACCATTAGGGGGAGTATAAGACTGAGCATGGGAGATGGGAAAATAGTCGCAAGTTGGTAACAGTTTTTGATGCCAGAGCATCAACACTTCGATTCTCTTTTTGGCGAATTATTTTTCGTTCTTTGGAAGTCATTTTCTCATTCGTCTGAAGCCATTTTCCTTCTCCTTTTGAATGTTTATTTATGATTTTTGTGTGTTGGTTTTTTTCTTTACCGATTTGCGACCAAATTCGTTAGCTGCTGGTCTGATTTCCTCCATGGCAAATGTTTGCATAGAATTTGTTAATTCGGTTCGATTTTTGCCAAATTTTTGCCTATTCATATAGATATTGAATAGGCTGCCCTGACCTGTGACCTCAGTTGCGGCATGTGGCGATAACAGCTGTCAACGCCCACGCTCCTGTCGTCCTTGACACTTCCACACTCGCCCACATATCAACCTTTATTCCCCGTCTATTTATAGGTGGTAGGGAAAAAATTCCAGAAAAGGGCAACCAGTTCAATGGAACAACATCTGACGCTGAGTGGAGTTCCGACCGGAATAAATGACAGCATAATGCTGATGGTAATGGGAGTGCTACATAATGGGCTCCCATTTCCATTTCCATTTCCAATTGCATTGGCAGTCTACTAACCAGGAAACAATGGGCACAATCAATAAATTGTCTCTCCCTTTCGGTCACCGAAATCATTTGCTGATGACGAAATCGAGATTAAAGACGCCTGCAAAAAATAGCACAAAAATGGAAAAAATAGATAAAGAAACAATGTCACTTCATTGAGAATTATTCTTGGAACTGACACGGACAGGGAGCGGGCGGGTCGATAGACAAATGTTTCACTTGTGCTTTGACCTGATGAGAAATATAAATGACAAACTCGACCTTATTAGGGGGAAATGTCGAACAAATTGAAACGGAAACTTGGTTTGTGTAGAAGCACTCCGAAAGTAGATACTCACATAAGATAACCATAAATAGGAAAACTTTACCTGTGGTGCTATTGTTGGTACTTGAACTTTATTAAAACCCATTTGTTTCTTTCATTTTCTTTGCAGGTTGCACAAGTGGAACAAAGCCGATTTTAATGAGTTCGTGGCAGAGGCAACACATGAGCCCACCACTTGTCCCTGCCAACTATAAATGGCAACAGGCTGGAGGTTTATGCGAAAAGTTGTGCAAAGTAATAAGCAAACAAAACACAAGCCAAGCGAAATCCGGCCGACAATAAAGAAGAGCCATCAAAAGACCAAAAGAAACTAACCGCCGAGAAACGCTTAAATCAGCAAAAGAAAACACTGCCAGGCAGTGGGAAAAGTTTTCCCGCCACAAGGAGTTCCATCTGCTGCCAACCAGTCCTCATCATCGGCTGGCTGGCTGGTGATTGTTTCGCAAAAGGATTACCAGACTCGTACATATTATGCTGTAAACATGAAATACCCAAACGATACACGACTCATTGTGCTCATTTGCTGTTTGCTGCAAGGTGAGTGCAAAAGCATCCCATACTCGTACAATAAGTAGGAATGAATGGGGATCCGAGCAGAACAGTTTCCAGTTCAGTGGCTGCCACTGCCACTGCCACTGCCACAGTGCCATGCGCGCGTGTCGACACCTTGCCAGTCAATAAAAAGCAAATTGTAACTGCTCGACAAAGTCACTTGTGGCGTTTTAACACCCAAACGCACATATATACGTATGGATGTATGAATGAAGCCTTCTGTGCGTGTCGGAAACCTTCACAAAAAAAAGAAGGAGAATGCCCCAGACTAATCCCCTTCAGATGAACACTCAACCGTTCAACCACCCATCCTGCCAGTCTGCTCGTTTCACTTATATCAGTTATTTTTTCGTGTGTGCCGCATGCGGAGCGCATACAAATGAGTGGGGCATAGCCAGAGGTTGCCATGACGCCACTTGGGGTTGGTCATTTTCGCCTTTCCTTAAATAAAACATGGTAATTTTTTTAATAGAGTTTCCCTGAGCTGAGCTTTATGTGCGGCATTCAACATACAAACAATCCACCTCTTTGTTCACCCACTGAGAGATCTGTCAATTTGGGTGTGTGTGTGTGTGTGCCAAAGTTGGCTCCATTTCGATTTGCTTACGCATTTGTCAAGTGCAGGCAAAGGAACGTGACCTGACAGACACAGTTCCACTGCAGTGAAGCTGCCACTTCCACACATCCATCTATGCAGCCACCCCATCCTCCCATCCATCCATTCAGCAACCTCTCCAAGGAAATCACTCGCTCGTATTAAATGCCATTGACGCACGAGCACTGCGAGGGAGGGGGCATGGCGCAGGCAGGCGTAGCCGTGGGATGGCTGCATAAATTCCATTTCATTTTGCAAATATGTAATCGCACCCAAAGTGCAGTAGCACTGGCAGTGGCTGGAGCACACAAGACACAATGCCACATCGATTTCCGAAGGGCAAACCAACCATCCACCCATTCTCCATGCAACTCCCACGTTGGAGAAACAATAAAAGAAAACTTTGGCTGCATTGGTAAATTGTTTGTTGAACGTGCCGCACTCCACTTCAGTCTCTTCGCCGTCGACTTGCACCTCCCTGGAACTTGCGCGTGTACTTGTGTGTTTTCATTCAACTTTAAGTGGCTGCAAATGAATCGTCCGTCCAAATATTATCCATACGCCGTGAGTGTGCGGCGACAGTTTACATGCTGCTTGGCTTCCTCTTTGTCTGTGGCACAGCTATTGTTATCCCTATTTTCAATTACACGCCACTGCTGCTCTCTCTCTCTTGGTCTGCATTCTGCCTTTTTCTGTCCGTCTGCGTATGCGTGTCCCGGCTGACACATCACCTGCGGTTATTTTGATTTTAATTTGCTCGTTTCTCGCTCGTCAGTTGCTTGTCGCTCTTGGTGTAGCCGTTGCCGTTGCTCTTGTTGTTCCTATTTTATTCATAAATGTTTTGTTCGCTATCTCGGAACACCAACACACTGGCAACTCTAAGCCCAGATACGTACACAGACACTCCTACACATGCCTGTCAGGGTCTCTTAGCGTTGCGCTGTCGTTTTGCCTCTGTGTGAGGATTTGTGCCAGATTTGTGTCAACTTGAATACATCACAAGCGCTTGAACAGATTTGCCCGTTGTTGCATGTTGGTGTGCTGCTGCACAAACTTTTGTTGTTTTTGTTGTTGCGTTGTGGTGGCTGCAAACAAAAAATGCACACGCAATCGCGCAGTGGCAACGGGGCGTACGAGTGTTTCGCCTTCGCCTTCGCCTTCTCCTTCTCCCTCTGACTCTGTGTTGCCTTTGAAAACTGTTGCATAGTTTTTTTGCTCTGCAGCCGCTGCCGCTGCCACAGCCTCTGTTGTTGAAGCATTGTTCTTGTTGTTGCCGCCCCAGCCTTGTGCTGCCCATGCCCATGATGCCGCGCGCCTGTTGCAAGGATACCCTTTGTTGTTGCTCGGTTGCTGCACAAACTAAGCTAAAACTATCCCAAAGGCTTTTTCATTACAATTTCGCTTGGTTCTATTTTTCCCCAAACCCCTTCTGGTGCTTTTCTCTCTGGGATTGTTCTGTTTTCACTTCCACTGCTGAATTTTTTAATATAATTGTTTGCGTACTTATTTGGGGCAAGGCCAAATGGCCTGCCATTATGAAGTTTTGCCGACTCCCAGCAGGAGTTGAGCCCCGAAGAGTGTTTTTTAAACGCAATTAATAGGCCAACGCTAAACGGAATTTAAACTGTCAATGAAACAATAAATACTCATCAAGGATACGGGCACGGGCCCCAGCAAGGAGCAAGAAAAAGGTGCGACTATAACCAAATGTCAGAGTTTTAATGAAGTCTAGACGATGCAAATGAGGCAACAGCAAAAAACAAAAACAAGAACAAGAACAGAAAAGTATACCTTAATGAGCTGCCTCTCCGAGTGGCTGGCATTTCACTATCCAGGCACCGTCGTCCTTGTTGTGTCTCTTACTTTTTTGACACTTTTCGGCAACTTTGCCCTAGCATCCTATCTCGCAGTGTCTGGTGTCTGGGGGGACACAGGTTTTTGGGCAACACTTGAACGTCGAATGATTTGCCAGATAGCAAAGTTTGCCAGCCTCTTTCCACGCCCTCAAGTGGGGCCACATAATTGCTGCGAAGGCGCAAACTCATTAGTGGTGTAAAGTTAAGCGCCATTCAACCGATCCCTCCCACTGTGCCTGTGCCAGCTCAGATTTCCCATCATTGATAGCGACTAAGCTGCCCCAACCGATTTCTGTTGCTTGCTTTATCTTCTAATGGCGGCCTTCATTATGCGCTATTTGGCAGCGTGCTGTGGGTCAGTGCTCTTCCATCGCCCCCATCCCCAACGGGCACTCCTTCAGCCATGTCCCTCCCCCTGCTGCCAGCGCCGCCTTTGTTTGTCTGTCCACTTTCCCATCCTTCGTTTCGTTTCGTTTCGTTCCCTTCCCTTCCGTTTGGTTCCGTTTCGTTACGTTTCATTCTGTTTGCCAATTTTATCGAATTATGCAAAGCAGCACTCCCCCTCTATATTGATGGTTGGTGGGTCCGACCGAGAACCCGAACGGTGGCCGAGAACTTATTTAACCTAAAGGTAAGCTGCCAGGTAACCTCTGGTCGAGTGGGTGGCAGTATTGGAAATAGATGGAGCGACGGCCAGGCCTGTTCAAATATGCGTTAATGAGCGAAATTATCATGCATACGAAATGATATTCTAAGGCCTGCCCGCGCCTCAGCTCCGGCTTATGCATATTCAATTTACATCAAGTACCCCGCGCTGCCTTGCGGATACTTTACATAATAATTTAAACATGCAACTTTATTTTAGTTCAAGGCACTGGCGGGAGTGGAATGGAGTCAGGAGAAAAGCAGACAGGGAGATAGCTCGAACTTTTGTTCTCCAACATTTGTTTCCACTGCTCCAGGCAGTGCACAGTGGATAAAGGCAGTTGTTTTACTGGAATAATTTAATAGGAGCTTTTAACTTTTCACTTCCCACAGCACTCCTAAGAGAGAGGGGAATTTGGCAGAATATTTTATTTACTTGCTCTCGAGTAAGTCCTAAAATTTGCTGTGACTTTTAGGATAATTAGTCAGTCATTTCGTTCTGCATAGCCATCTGAGTGAATACCATCTAAGGCTTCTTGTAGTAAACCTGCATTTGGGTAAGGCATAAAGCATTGACAGATCCTTTCAACTGGGATTCCATTTGTGATCCCATTCCCCTGTAATTTAAATTCGAATTTGAATGTATGCCTTCGTCAGCCAGTTACCATCAATGCAATGAATGGCTGGCTGAGGGGAGAGGGAGTAAAGCTAAAATTCTTTGATAATATTCCCCCCCACATGCCCCGAAAGGCAATTTTAATCAGCTCTCATGCAACATTCACCCATTGTGTGTGTGTGTATGCCACGAGCTGCTTGCTGCCTGCCGACTGCCACCAGGCCGAGCCCTGGCACCGCTTTGTTTCGCTTTGTCCTCCTGGGCTGCTGCCAGCCTCCATTTGGCTCCTGCTGCTCTGATGGGACTTTGCTGTTTTTTAATTAACATTAAGATACTTTGTTCTGTAGCCAAAATGACATGTGTTTGCTGCAGCTTCTGTTGTCTCGTCTCCAGCTTTGTCTTGGCGCGTATCAAGGCGATCGCATTTGCAGACTGAGACAGAGCTCGACTTTGTTGTAGCAGCCAGGCAGTCGCAAGGCAGGAAAGCTGCCTAATTTCATTAAGAGTCCCATTTGGTGCCTTGGGCTGACTGACATCACCGCTGATGGCCGTCAGGGCACGCCCACGCACCTGGACGACGCACCTTGACTCGTTCATCAAAGTCGCGCTGTGACTGTCATAAAAATTGGCCAATTAAATAACGCGTGTCGCCATTAAGACCCACGCAGAGTTCCAAATTTCTTTGCTAATTAATGGGCAAATGTAATTACTTCAAATGAATGTATAGAACTTTGAGAGGAGATGAAATTCGACTGCAAACGCTGGCATTCAGGAATGCATTTAAATGTTTCTTAATCACAAAATTGATTGCAGATTGCCGAAAGTTGGATAAATCAAAATTGTTTATAGGACTCGCTCAGACACTCAGAACCACAATCATTCTGCCAATCCGTTCGACATTTCAATCCATTTCTAGTGGCTCCAGGGAGTTTGGAAAAGTTGTGCAGCTGCAATGGAAAAGTTTTGTTCGCAAAGACCCAGCTCAGGGGCTGTCAATCTGTTTAATCCAATTCAATTGCTGATGTCTTTAAGCGGCTTCTGAATCTACTTCTCTCCCAGCTACAGTTTCAGCCACAGCTGCCAATGGCCAATTAGCCGACAGCTCTGCTCCTAATGGTCAGCCATTTCTGTCCAGATATTCAAATATTTATGACGACTGGAGCTAGAATTCTAATTTAACGCTGAGTGAACAGCTCCGCGTTTACTCAAAATAGACCACAAAACGACGTATTTATTCAGTGGCAGGGCAAGTGACAGCAGGGATGCGGACAACAGCCAATATCCTGTGGGCGGTGGTGGGTGGCCGATGTCCTTACCCTGAATGGCAGCTCATAATTTGTGGCCTCGCCGCTGCTCTGTTGCGCTGTAATTTTACAAAGGATTAAGCCCGATTACGCACTCATTTATTAATATTTACGAGCCGCTCGACACAGGATAACAGATAGCCATGTCGCGTGGTGTCATGTCGTGGCGCCCCCTTCACCTCGCTCCTTCTCATAAATAAGCAATTGACGATCTAGCCGTTGGTCTTTTTTAATTAAAACAATAATTGTGTGTCCTGGCCAGAGATAGAGACAGACCACTATATATTGTGGCCTCTTCTAGAGGACAAATCAATTATGCAAATATCTCATGCAGCAGACAGGCGCAAAATCTGCGCCATCAACGAAAAAAGACTCAACTCGACACGACACGAACAACGTTGGAAATATTTTAATTTTCCTCTGCTCCTCTGTTATGACGAGCGTAATCCCCCTGGCGGCTGGCACTCGCTTGCTTGCCTCCGATGCGCCCTTTTCTTATGCAAATATGTATGTCCCCATATCCTTGTGCGCCTTGGGAGCTTATTGATTTTCGGGGCACTGATTTCAATATTCACCGCTTATCCTTGCCGTCCCCAGGTCTGGCCGTGGGCCTGCGCATGATCAAGGTCTCCATTCCCGCCTACAAGCTGCGGGGCGAGTCCGCCTTCCTCGAGTGCCAGTACGAGCTGAACCGCACCCACCACCTAAGCCTCGACGGGCATGGACTGCAGACGCACTCGGATCACAACTACGGCCGCAACCACGAACACGACCGCCCGTCTCACGCCGGAGACTTTCACTACCCGGATGGGGAGTCTGTGGACGATGAACGGCCGCCGCATCGTGGTCGGATGCACCAGGGCCAGCGTCAGCATGGACAGCGCCAGCGGCAAAGGGACCGCGAGCCGATCGCCATGGGGCAGTACCGAAACCCACCGCCCCTGACGCCCCCAGAGAAGTCTCCCTATGGCCACAGCGTCTATCGCGGCAGTGCCGCCTCCGGGTACCTGGGCGCTCATGTCGGTGCCAGCACCCACAGCGGCGGCAGCATCAGTTCCAACGGCGGCTCCATGGGCTACATGCCAGAATTCGACCGAGCGGATAGCTTCGGGGACAGCGCCGAGGAGGAGGATGAGGATGAGGAGGAGCAGGCCGAGGAGGGCGAGGCCCTGTACGCCATCAAGTGGTACAAGGACAACGAGGAATTCTATCGCTATGTGCCCAAGGCACGACCCCCCAAAACCAGCTACCGCGTGGATGGAGTCCGTGTCATTGTGAGTATCACACCCAAAGATTATGTTTGTCCTGGCTGATTGTGCCCATTACAGGAGGAGCTCTCCGATGCCAGTCGCGTGCTGCTGCGAGGCCTCACCCTCAACTCCACCGGCCTCTACCGCTGCGAGGTATCCGCGGAGGCGCCCAACTTCTCCTCGGTGCAGGGCGAGGGCCGCATGGATATTGTCTGTAAGTAGTCGAAATTCTCAATCAATTCCGAAGCACGTTCTGCATTATTTTGTTGCACTGCCAGCCAAAACAGCAACCGAGCAAATGTTTGTTCCGAAAAAAATTCCTTTCAATTACAACGGACAAGGGCAAATAACTAGAGTTTACGCTCAAGCGGGTGCGAGCAGATACTCGTAGGATGTATGCAGATTTAAAATCCATGCTCTCAGGCAGGGAATTGTCGGAGTTTGTTTACTCATTTATCTGGCTGCATGCAGATGCATGTCGAATATTATTCAAAGCTATCGAACGCACACCGAACATATCACGACCCGCTTTCAGTGCAGCAAACAAACCCGTACCTTACCATAATGGAATTCATAAATAAATATGTTGGCATCGCTTAGAAATCAGTTGAAATTAATTAAAACCATATTTAAAAATCACTTTGGTATTATTTTCATAGTTTTATTTGAAGCACTCACCCAAACTGTTTTCATTGCGGGTAAAACTCTGACCTTCAGTCGAACTATTCCGCCACCCATTTAATATTATTGTTTTTGCGGATAAGCTTTGGCGATTTTAATTTGAATATTTAAACTGCGGTCCGTTTCGCATAGCAAAATCCCACGCAAAACTCCCACGGACCCACTTCCAGCTCCACTACCAACTTGCATGAATCCCAGAATCGGATGGAGTTATTGGAGCTTCGTACCACACTGGCCATGGCTTTGGTCTCCTAATGCGACTGGGTAGCTTTGTTTCTTTGGGTGTTTTTAGGGAGTGCTTTTAAAAAGCCATTCATAAGCTTTAGTTGCGCAACAGCATATTTCTGTAACCCAAGCCCGGTCCCTCTCTCGCTCGGGTTTTTAACGGTTTACACTGGCGCTAAACTTTTCCTGCTCCAACGCTGCTTTCCCTCCCCTTGTTGCAGTATTTTTTTCCGTATTTGTATTTACTTTAAACCAAATGGCCAGCAGAAAAAAGAGATTATATAAAAATGGTGAGGCTTTCACCCGCCTCGTGCTGCAGGAATATCAACATGGCAGTGGTTGGGGCCAAGCGATTTATAAGTTAAAATGCCATTTTAATGGGCATTTCCGCAGCATGGCCGCTTACTCTCACAACATATTTTGTGTAGTACGAGGACGAGGACGAGGACGAGGACCTTCCTTCCCCATTGCTTTATCTGTGTGTTTTGTGTTCTATTTGAGCAGCGAAAAAATATTTATTTGTATATCCCATTGGAATCGGCGGTACCCTCCCCATGCAGCACCGCTGAATGTGTGCACGGCAAATATTTGTAGGGCAAAGCAAACCAAAAAAAAATTGTTAATAAATTACTCGACCAAAAGGGCGGGCCAAAGCGAAAGCCGCAGCAAATATTTATTGAAGATTATTTGTGGGGACTTGGAAAAGGGAACACAGTCCAGTATGGCAGATAATATTAAGTGAATATTGCAATATTTTGATCAGATTTCATTTCATAGATTTCATTTGGTTTTGAAGGAGAAACTAAGAAATTAAATATCATTTTACATTTTTCTATCGAGGCGAGTTTTAGTGTCCTGCTGTTACAGTGTCCAGTTGGGAATTATTTCTGAATATAACAATATAAAACATTTAAAGAGATGGTGGCATGTACATATGTCTGTTTATGATAATCAACAATCAAACATTTATATATTCAATACCATTTTGTTCCTTTCAGTTCTGCCCCGCGATGGTCCGCACATCAGGGGCCAGCAGTATCAGTATCAAATTGGCGAATATCTATATTTAAATTGCACGTCGGGGAAATCGCATCCGGCCTCGCATCTGCAGTGGTTTGTCAATGAGCAGCCGGTGAGTTTGTTAACACCAAATTTATTCCACCTGCCACCCATTTTGCCCAAATAAAACACAACAAAATTTACCCTTTTTTTTATCGGCCGTGCACCTAAACGCTCCTTCACCTCCTCCCCCCTCGCTAATCAAGACCCTTCGGCAATGGGGAATGGGAATCGGTGAAAAAGAAATGTCGGAATTATGCATACAGTAAATATTTGAGCTTCTAACAACGCGGCAGACAACGACCCCCGGGGACCGACCGGATCCGGGCTGGAGTCCATCCAAAGTTTTCGGGGAAAGGCTCAGCTGCCGTGCAGGTTTTTGAAATTATTTCATGAACAAAAATCATGTTCCCTCGTATATACTATATTCGGGGTTCTCCATCGCCATCGTACTCGTCGGGCCCTCGCTTTGGCTTTGGCATGTTTTATGGCCGAATGTTGGTGGGCTTAGGTGTGGAAGGTGTGGGTGCAGTGCGGGATGGCTGGGCCATCCATCTGGGCGAAAGCTCGTTACATGTCTGCCATGGCCGTAGCCGGAACAGAGCATATATACTGATGCAGGGACTGGGAGGGACTGAGAGGGTAGCGCACTGCATTTTATCGCCGACGTTGACTACATGGCACTCAAATTGTGTGAATCGAGGCGTTAAGGTACGAGTTAGTTCATTGTACCATGCTACCTCTCTCCCACTCTCTCTATCTCTCTCTCTCTCTTTCTGTTGGTTACATCCTCCTGAATGAACCTACCCCACAGCAGCTCTCGTGCTCCTTTGTACAAATACGAGAAAAATCAATAAGTGTGATTAGGCACGTTTCCCGGTTTATTTGCGTTCCAACAATGGCAGCTCGCCGACGATCCGCTTCGCCCCCCGCCTCCCGCCCACCACATCACCCTTCTCAGCCGTCAAATAAATAAAATGGAGAATGAAGAACAATGAAATCGGTGAACGTTTATTTAATAACATTTGTCATGCAGTCCGGCAGTCCGGCAGTCCGGCAGCCTCCCTCCAAATGGCAGCCTCAATTGTCCAACATGTCGTCTGCCTGTTCCCTTGGCAGGCATCTCAGCAACTTACAATAAAAATGTCCATCAGAATGGGCAAAATATTCCTGCAATTCACCCGAAAACTTATAATGCCTTGGCAATGGTATTGGCCAGGCCACAAACTGCGTAGAATTCAATTTTGTTGTAGGTTGCTTGGAATGCGAAAGGCATTTTGAGGGCCCCCATTTTGTAGAATGTTTCTTTTTATTCCTGACTGCCACGACAGCTGCTGGCGGCATTTGCAGCCTGTTTGTTGTGTCAGCAGAGGCCGGACCGAGGCCTATACATTTTTAATTTGTGCTTTTAAAATTTCCATTTTAAATTCAAACATTTTGTATCCGGTTCCTGCAAGGCCAACGAATCGCCTAACAAATGGCAACAATCTCGCTGGCAAAGTGTTGCCCCCCGCCCTCCGTTCAATTGGCATTCGAATTCCCAGTCCGATTACAATCCCAGAGCCCACAGTCCCAGAACCCAATTTCCCAAGAAAATCGAAAAAGGGAAGGAAAACGAAAAGTTCAAGCTATTTATTTGAGCATTTCACATTTTTTATCAGGTCTGCACATTTCTCTTATTTATGGCAAATGATTTTATTTCTTTACGGGCAAAGCTTAAGTGTGGACCTCCAACCCCTACTTTGAGGGGGAATGGCTCCACTTCCGACCCTCGGGAAGGCAGTGCACTCTGCTGACATCAGCAAACACTGAAAGGGAGGAATTATCAAGTTCTTGTAATTGTAACCTTCAGCTCAGACTCCCCAGCTCCAAGATGGGAATACAAAAGCGTCCCCTTAAGCATTTGCCAGACATGGGCCAGACACGCCCCCTACTCGTTGCTGGTGCTCCTTTGCCGTATGTGTCAACCCCTTGATGGAAGGAAACTCCTTTCAGTCTGGTCTGCATTTCCTTGGGCTGCGGATGCAGAACATTTAATTTCGCATCTCAGACCATCTCTCCATTTAAAACTCTCTTGTTCCGTGCCATTGCAGATCCTGGACGAGCATTACCTGTACAAATACAACGATATCGTGCACAAACACGGGCTAATCACCTCGACGCTGGGCCTGCAGCTGCCGCTGGAGTCGCGCCACTTCCACGACGGCGACATGCGCGTCAAGTGCCTGGCCAGCATATCCCCGGTTCTGTGGAAGGGCGGCAAGGAGAGTGTACTCCAGCGGCGGCCGGGCATCATTGACAATCGGGAGGCCATGCTCTTGGGTGAGTGAACTTTGAACACGACAACTGGCAGCACTCAACTAATTCAATTCAATTCCATTCTATCTATGTGTGGGTGTGTATCTGTATGCGTGTGTCTGGCTGTGTAGTGAGAAGTGCAGCTGGCCATTCGCAGAACAGTCTACTGCGGTCCCTAACCATCACCATTATTCTGGCACGCGCGTGTCAGTGGCTCCTAGGCTCGGAACTTACCTAAGCGACCAGAGGAGGCACAGCCCCTGCCCAACCCGACTCGTTTCAATTAACATGAATTCATTTTCAATTCAATTCAATTGCAATTGCAGAGCATAAATGGTGATTTTGTATACTTTAAGTGTAATATCCTTAGTTGTTAAGAGCAAAACCGCAACAGATCAGATCAGATCGGAAAGACAGGGGGCACGGAGCACTGGATCACTGGATCACAGGATCACTGGATCACCAATCAAAAGGCGACAAATTGGGTAAATGTGTTATAGCATGTAAAAAGCATTAAGACAAAAACCAGGTACATAGGAGTATGTCCAGTATTAAAGGCAGGAGAGTTCATGCATCCACTCGTACATACATTGACATCCCCCACATTGGAGCAATGCCCAATGCAAGTAAACGGCAGAGCGGAATTCAATTAGCAAAATTGTTGAGCAACTGAATTCACATCCGAAATATCAGGCATCCACTTGAGAGTCTGCCACTCCACCATCCCCATGCCATCACCATCCCCATCCCGCCCAGCCCAGGGCTCGTTGTGCGTAATTTCTGTGTAAATAATTCAATGGGAGGACTAAAGTCCAAGGCAAACTCCAAGCTCTTGTCTAATAATGTCTCATTGGCATCATTTTCGAATGGGAGCTGGAACTTTGCCATAACAGATGCTTAAAACTAGATAATTCCTAAAACGAAAAGTGAAACAAAAGCTTGAAAGTGCAACGACATTTTTGATTTTCAGCCTTTCAGTCCATTTATTCTGTTATTCTGGCCATTGAAGGGAATATTATAGTTTGCATTTAGTTTTGTAATTGTTCCAACAGAATAAAACAGAACAGAAGACAACTGTGAATATGCATGAGTTGAATTTGCTCTCAAGAATTGTTACAAAAATAATGTGCACATTTCCATTGTAAGAAACTTTGAAGTGCAGCTCCCCGAATAAATACGAACACACTGTATAAAAGAGAAACTGGATATAGTCGAATATACTCGTACATAAATACATACATATATGCATAAGGTCCTCTGTTTAACTAGAACTATAAGCTCTCTGTTTAAGTTGTAGTGGCTCTATCGAGGCGAACTATTGATTGAGGAGAACTCCATTGACTTGTACGTAGTAATACCAAAAAGAGAATACTTTGAGAGGCTCCCCCCCAGAAATAACTACTATATATAAAGAGAATATGTAAATGTATACAATAAATGCAGAATGACGAGACCCACGACCCGAGACGCCCTTCTCCCCAGAGTGTTTAAACAAATATAAATGTGAAAGCAAACATTGAGTTGTCTTTTTTGTGTATTTTTTTCGTGTGTTGATTTTAGCATTACAGATACGGGCAGAGACACGCACGCAGGCCATACAACAGACATTAACACCTGTGCTACCCACCTGCACACTCACGATCACTCTCTTTGGCCAAAAGGTGTTAAAATCGTGGTGGCCTCTTGCAACGGCAACAAAGGAGACACACAAAAATTATATATATATGTGAGTGTGGCACATAAAAGCGCGAAAAGTTAAAATAACACGTACAAATTTTGCATGCAAACAAACCGCAGAGCACTCACACACACATTCACAGGTGCACACGCCAGACACGAACACATTTGCAGGCGCACGGCCACGGGCACGGGCACGGGATGGCCGCAAATGAAAATATTGCGTGCAGCCTTTTAGGCGCTCCGGCTGGAAACTCGTCTTGTTGCGCCTTTTTATATGAGCCAGCTTCTGCTTCAGCTGCTTCTGCCACTGCTGTGGCGACTCTGCGTCTTGTTCTTCTTTTGGCCAACATTTTGATGGCGTACTAAACTTTATGCGAGGCACACATAAATAGAAACGCGCACAAAAAACTTTTACAATGCAATGGCAAAAATAAAACAAGAGCGTTTTTTTTGCTCTGATGGTCAGAGACGAGAGTAGAGTGAGAGCTGGATGGTTGGATGGTTGGCGCTGGAACACACGCAAACGCCATAGGGCAGCCGGAATTCATGCGTGGCCAGCGGCAGTTTCCACAGGCAATCCCCCTCCCTATTTACTTTAGGTTGAGGCACCGCAAATCCTAACCTGACTCAACCACCTGAACCAGCCATACCCACACAAAGCGCCAGCGAATGGGAAGCAAGTGGGACTGTACCCATTTAATCTGGTCCTGCACTTTGGCCAGTTTTGCCAAAGATTTATGAGCGCCTTGCACTGCATAAGCGGCGCCATTTAAATGTCTGGACCTCCAGACCTATGCCTGCGAGGGAGCCCTCTTTCATCTCCATCATATGTTTGGGCTTGACCGGAAGTGGGCGTGCGGAAAGGAGAGCCAGAGGTTGGAAACAAAAAAATGTATGACCAGCGATTGCATAGCTGATAAATTTAGTTTGCACTGGGCGCGGCCACAGAGAGAGGCAGAGAGGGAGAGCCGTACAGCTAGATGGTGTTGGAAATTATGACTCGTCAATTGGTGGGTGGCTTGGCAGACACCCACACTGGTCCGCCCAACCAAGCACCCAGCAAGAGAAAGGTGCGTGAAGTGCGGAAGTGGCTGACTAAATTGCAGCGGGGCTAGAACAAGAGTTGCCTTTGATTTAAGTTGCATTAAATTAGCCTGCACACAGAGGTCTCTGATTAATGAGTGCCGGTAAAGTTTCTGACAGCAGCATGGGGCAGAGTGGCGGTGCAGCCAACATTCAATCAGAGGGAACGCTGAAAGAGAATGATCAGTGAGCACTTTGGCTGATTGAAATGTATGACCCCGAAGATCCCCGTGATTTTTGCAGACTGATGAAGCCCATTAACCGTACACCCTGAAGCGGAGAGAGTAATCCCATCGGAATTATGCGATTGCAATTCGAATTGTTGCCCTGGCATTCTGTGATAATAATGCAGAATCGCAGCACTTGACTTTTCGCAACCATTTAAGTGCCCCGCCCAGCCCCCTGTCCAGCGCAATGGGAATGCTGCATACATGATATTGGTCTTAACAAATGGAAAAAAATAGCAGCACTGACCCAGCAGCATCATGCATAATTTATGTGGCAGCCAGCCTCTTGCTTCCTCTTGCGCCACACTCGATGCCCGTTAAAGGCAAATCAAAATGCACTTTATTGCACAACGAAATGCAACAAAATAATATGCCATTCCCACCGCTTTCTCGTCGATTGAAATGGTGAAATGAAATGGCGCAGGATAACGAGACGCCGGGAGCGAGAGCGTGAGCTGAGTTGACCACTTTGGCCATTTGCATAATATTGATTCCATTTGGAAGCTTCAATGCCATGGAACACAGCACGTAATGCCAGTTCGAGTGCTCCACATACACCAATGCATATCCACAACCCATTCCGATCCCGATGTGGACTCTACAAATAAATTGCAGTGAGCTGTAACCGTATGAATTGAGTAAATGGAAATCACATGAAATCGCCGCAACTTCAGCCATAAGCATATGAAAGTCATGAGAACAAACACACTCGGAGGCTCACTCGAACTGCGGATGAAGCTATTCGAATTATGCAAATTAAGACATAGACCGAGAACACCAGTCCACATTTTCTGCTGATGAACTGCAGCAGCCAGAGAGTCAGAGTCAGAGCCAGAGACCGAGCTCCTCCTCAACAGACAGACAGCTCCATTAGAAAAACGCATTTAGTCGATGTTCGGCAATTAAGATCCCTCCCGTACGAGAACGAAAAAGGATAAATGCTAAAATGAGAAATGTCCAAAATGGGAGAGGATTTCAATGAAGCCGCCGACCCAGTGGCCCCGTAATGATATTTCACCCGGATGCCAATGCCAATGCCGATGCCATGCCATGCCATCTGCTTCGAAATTGTTCGCAATCAACTGGCCTCAGATTCAGGCAGAACTGTGACCCAGGACTCCTCTGTGTCACAGGCTGTGCATCCTGGCCTCGCTGTGCATGTGTCGCCCTGACATGATGATCTTGCTGTGCCCACTGGTGGTGGCATTTGCATGCAAAACTGGCTTGTTACGTTATGAATACTCGCAGCACAGCAACGAAGAGCTGCAGTCCAATGCATCCAATGGTATGTGTATTTACGGCCCAAATTAGCGGTCAAATGATGCACTTTGTGCTGGTAACTCGAACATGTCCATGTGGCTGACAGTGGAGCAGTGGCAGTCCTGGGTCCAACACTGCCACTGACAGCTAGCCTCGCGGATATTAAGGCTTTGATTGATGGCCGCGAAGTGTGGTAATAGTTTTTCGACCTAATGCTGCTTATGCTGCTCTCCATCTGGCATGCCAGATGGGCATATCCTTGGACATATGCTCTGGGAGCAGGGACAGACTTCCAATTAGCCGAGCACCCTGTGTGGCACCCTGTGGCTGTGCCTGCACAAAGGCATTCACATAAAGTGGTTACAAGTATGCGGCAATTAGCATTTAACGAGCACCACATGACAGCCACAATGGCACGACACGGCACAGGACAGAGTCTCTCTCCTGTCGCCATAATACTATACATACATACAAAAACAACCACAATCTACTCCTCCCACAAAAACACCTCCAATCACACAGACACACAGGCAAACGGAAAACAGAAAACAGAAAACAGAAAACAGAGAATTCGAAGTGAACAATGTCATCGACAAAACACAAGAGTCCCGGTTCCATTCCCTGACCAGGAACCTCCTTTGTTTTCCTTTTCCCCAGTTTTGGAACCAAACATTTTACGTTCCCAGCCACGCCCCCTCCCCCATTCCACTATCCGCTTCGCCCACGAAAAACTGCTGATTACTTAACTAAATATGGCAGCTTATGGCGGGACACGACATGTCCACTAAACTCTCTGATTTACACGATTTGCATGTACAGGAGACGCCTGCGTATGGGCGTCGGCGTGTGCCAGGCTCTAATTAGCTTACCCCAAAAGCATTCGCAACAGAATTATCAACTAGATGCTGTGCAACCGCCAACGAGAGCGAACCTAACGAATGTGGGGCACCTGATTAGGACGAGAAACAGAAATGGTAGACTAAATCACGGTGCTGGGGCTGCGGCTGGTGGTGACATTCAAAAAGACATACCCCAAGGTTGATGCAATAGCAATAGGCAAAACAATAGACTGTTAGTCCCAAAAAGAGTTTTGCGAAAAGCTGCAAAAGATTTGTTCTGCTTTTCTAGCTTTCGCGTCTAAGTCAGGTACAGATTCCCCGAGTATTCTATGGCCACAAACAGGTCGTTAAGTTGGCTTCAACACAAAGAAGAAAAACTTTCCTTTGTGCTATACTCGGAGGAGTTTTCTTTAAGGCCGAGTTCATTAGCATGTCGCTTCGCCAATACTTTTCGTGCAACACTTCAAGGCACAGACAGGCCAATGGTGGATCTATGGTCTTATCGGGAAATTCTTATCTGGGCTACATAAATTCCTGCCTTGACTTGGGCGTCGGGAAAGTTTCTTGAGGTTTTGCTGCATGGGCCAACCGGCTGTGGGGCCGCTAATTAAGACACGCAAAGTGCGGCTCTAAGATAAATGGTTCCATAGCACGTAAGCGGCGCGTCAATCTTGGCCATGGGATTCGTTGAGGTGCCCCCAAATGCCGCCCCGAGGCTCAGACACTTTTCTCTCAGACTTGCAGACTTGTTTTATTTTCGAAAAGTTTTTCCATCCCCCCATTCTCCTATTCTCCTGTTATCCCACTCCCCCCTGCCGACATTCGAAGCCTCATAAAAAATGTCAATGAAATGATTTATAAAAGAAGAGAAAAACCTCCCTCTCCGAGCAAAAATATGCTAATGTGACTCTGTTAATCAGCGTCCACTGTCCCCGAGATGAACAGGGTTTGATAAGGCCAAGTTTTCACATTGCCAATGGTATTCATTTGGCCATAAGTGAGGGGGCTGGCCGGTGGTCAGCGACTTAATAGGCAGCCATACCAAGTAGCTAGCAATTTTTTGGCCCAAGCAAAATGTCTTCATCGGCCTTCTCCCTGTGTTGCTTTCCCATTTCTTTGCCTTATTTTTTTTTTTTGCGTGCCTAGAGTTGAACATTAAATTTTAATGCCATATTTTATGCTTTCAGAATTTACATATATTTATTCTAGCCACAGAGTGTGTGTGTATGTGTGTGTGTGTGTGTGTGAGTGTGTGAGTGTGGGGGGGCCTAATCAAATCAAAAGAGTGACGGACCCACCAGCTCTTCCCTCTTCAGCAGCTCCCTGCAGTCCAGCCATGAATGGCTAAACAGACATGCAAAGTTCTCTGCTGGAGTTTTGACTCAAAAGTGGAGCCCCAGGCAAAGGCTCCCAACTCACACACAC